ATATTTCATATTCTCATATTAAATGCACTGAAAAAAAATGCACTATGTGCTAAATCTCATATTATATTTCATATTCTCATATTATTTATTATTTCATTAATATTTCATAATCGCGAGTAATTTCATATAATTACAGTCGTACTATAATATTATTTTTGCATATAAATATTATATATTAAATTTCACCAACGACAAAAATCAAAGTGCCTTTTACTCTTATACTCAAGTTGCAAAAATACAAGCGCAAAGACGCGCAAAAGGGACTAATCAAACAATACACTCACCGAGCTCTCGATCTTTTCGCTGAGAAGAATCCGGGCATCTTTTCGCTCCGTCTTTTCGCTGAGAAGAATCCGGGCATCTTTTCGCCCCGTCTTTTCGCTGAGAAGAATCCGGCTGCCGCATTTCATCTGCTCGAGCCACCTCTGCAATAACAATCGTCCGATACTTTATTCGGCACATTACGCGGGCAACGTAACGCGAGCAACGCGGAATGCGTGTAAAAGTTTCACCCTGTACAGCGCAACGCATTGGCTAAACGTTGGCCCAACGTCGGTTGGTTATATTAACAATGCATTGGCCGATATTGTCCAACGTGACGCCAATATTGGCCACGGAATAAATGTAACGTTGCGCGAGAAAAAAAGAAAGCCGCAAGAAGAACGGGGCGACCAACGCGACGCGCAGGCTTCGTACCGAGGAAGCGGCAAGGGACGTTCAAACCGTCGCGGAAGCGCAAACGCAAGCGCACGCAGGGAGACAGAACGATAACGCGAATAATGCGCTAATACGCGGCTTCAACTGTACCTTTTCAGTGCTTGCGGTGAATCGGGAAACGCGTATCGTACGAAGCGCGCGGGCGAGTCTAGCCTGTCGCGACGCAGCGGGAGGAGAACGCGCCGAGAATCTCGCGAACGCGATTATTTCTACGCCTCCCACTGTTACTCACGTGTCAACGCTGCTCGTCCGCGACGATTCGCCGCCCTGGATGTCGTATCTACGCGCAATTCTCCCTCGGAAGACGCCAGAAGCGCGGGGGCGACCGACCTGCGTCGAAGCGACCGGCCAACATGGCGCCGCCGCGAGCGTTTGCGCGGGAGCGGCGCTACGCGCATGCCCGTGGCGCGCCGAGAACGGCGGCAACGGACGTTCAAACGAACGGTCGCGGTCGCGGAGATACGACGCTGTGAGGTAACGGCTAATATTTCACGAGGATTACGGGCGATGGTCGGTTTCTTAACGAATGTGCTTTAATGTGCTTTAATGTACTTTAATGTGAATACACGCCGCGCTTTGAAACGCTCGTCAATTTAGCCCGTGACCGGCTCGTTGCGCGCGCAGCTTTCGGTTCGCGCGCGCCCGTCATAGTTGCCGACGCTGCGGTGCGGGACGGACGCCTCCGTACTTTTCGTGCCTTTCCTGCGCGAGCTGTGCGTGGACACGATCGGGGGTGACGCGAATCGTCGCGGACGGCCAGTTTTAACATGTGAGTAATCGCGTAGAGCGCGGTCGCGTGGAAATAGGCGCGTACGCGAAACGGCACTGCGCGCGACGTTGCGTCGCGACAAGCTAACCTTCCGCGCGCCCCGCGTTAGGCTCGGGACGCGAAGCATCGCGACGGCTCACGACAACGACGTACCCGAGAGCGTAGATTCGCGCGCAAGCCTCGGCGTATGTCGCACTTGCCTCCAATTACATGTACGACGTTACGTTTACGCCAAGGCTCGCGCGCTGCTTTCGGTTCGCGCGCGCCTGTCATACTTACCGACGCTGCGGTGCGGGACGGACGCCTCCGTACTTTTCGTGCCTTTCCTGCGCGAGCTGTGCGTGGACACGATCGGGGGTGACGCGAATCGTCGCGGACGGGCAGTTTTAACACGTGAGTGATCGCGTAGAGCGCGGTCGCGTGGAAATAGGCGCGTACGCGAAACGGCAAACTGCGCGCGACGTTGCGTCGCAACAAGCTAACCTTCCGCGCGCCCCGCGTTAGGCTCGGGACACGAAGCATCGCGACGGCTTACGACAACGACATACCCGGGGAGAAGAAAAAGTCAGGATGACGTCAATTTGATGCCATTGGTCCGTGGATTACCAAATTTTGGTCAGTATGGCATCAAATTGACGAAAGCGTAAGCGTAGATTCGCGCGCAATCTTCGGCGTACGTCGCACTTGCCTCCAATTACGTACGACGTTACGTTTGCGCCAAGGCTCGGGCGCTATCCACGTTTACGCCCTTCGGGTCAGGGCACAAAGCAACGTGGTAGCCTACGGCAAAGACGCAAGCGTGAACGTTTGATAGCGCGCAGGCTTCGGCGTAAACGTACGACACACGTCAAAGCTTGTACGCTACTCTACGTGGGACATCGTTTCGACGAATCTTTTCTCACCGGGAACGATTGCCGTGAAGTAAAAACATTTTCTCGAATGGGCAAGATGTATGGTAACGGTCGTTGAAAGAAGTAACGGGAAATATTAGGTATAGAGTTTTTATTTACATTCCTTTCATACTCGAAGAAGCGACAAAAAGCTCTCAACGTTCGTTCTTGTTTTTCTTGCCACGCGGTAACACGTGATGCCCCGCGTGCCACGCGAAGGTCGCCGCGTTATCATTCGCTCGCCGAGCTTCGAGCCGGCAGGTAGCATCGGGAGTCGCTCCGCGCGTCGTGTTACCTTTTCGTTATCGCTTTTCGGGACGAGTGTCGGAATAAAACTCTTAATTTGTGCACACGCTGATCAGTAACAAGTAACGTCCTTCGATTAATTTATTAGCTTATTAAGTTCGTACAAGTTGTGACGAGAAACGATTTGCATATTGAGAGGCGACGACTTTTATCAACGTATAGATATTCAGTCACGAGACTAGCTCTTCCAAAATACGAAGGTAAATCGTGGTACTTGGTCGCGATTACATCTCGTTCATGCATCGCGCTTTTAATTATCGGTCGATCTCGGTGTAATCAGCTTTTCATTCTCGGGAAAAGAGAGAGATTTGTCGGTGTACGGTGTTTGCGTTGTTCGCTGTAATTCGTTCCATCGTGCTTCGTGGCTCGAATACGCAGGAAGTAGAGAAGGTCGCTTATTGCGCGTTGTTGAAACGTTATTGAAAATTATTTAACTGTTACAACTAATAACTACTATTGATCGTAATAAATGTTTCACTCGCGCAATTCATTTCGCGCAAGGGTTAGATCGATTGACAGTAAGGATTGTAAAGTATCGTTTTCTTACGGGCTAATAACTACTGGTTATACCGCGCACAGATGGATTCCAATGCTTGCGTCGCGTTTTATCCCGCCGATTTAAAAGTGACTTGTCCATTGCTAGAATCGAGACGACGTGCGAGTTGCCGGTTTAAACGATTTGCGCGACGGAAAGTAGCATGACATAATATTTTAATACTCGGTGCGTTTCGCGGTGTTTGACGTCGCGCACGGGAGTGCCGCGTAAAATTTCGCGCGGGTGTAATTAATCGTTTTCGCGAGTGAATATCGTGTGAGTGCCACAAGGAAATCTGAGAGGAGGAGCAGGCCTGGCGGGCATCGTGCATCGGCGGAGCAACTATGAGGCAAGTGTTGTTTGTTACTTGAAAAATTAAGCATCTGCCTGTTGCTTTTGTCCTATTTAATCTATCACACGAGTCGAATAAGATTTAGAGACGAACACGTTGAAACTCCGCGAGTTTATTTAATAGACCTTTTTCTCGAGTACTCTATTAATTATTAAATCCATTTGAAGAAAATATCAAATAATTTTGACGCATTAATTTCAATTTTAAGCAATTATTCCATAATAATCGTTGTATTTGTACTTTACAGTTCAACGTAGTTTACGACGCAGACTACAACTCCGCTGCTGCACATCGTATCGGTGAGTGGTGAATTACCTTTTCTTTTAAATTGACGTAGTGGATCTGGATATATAAGACTCGCATTGGATTTATTTTTACGATTACATTATGTGAAATGCGCGTTGAAATTTGTACGACCACATAGTATGACCACCTTGCAAATAAATCGTGATCCTTGTTTATCTTTATGATCGAAAATTCGAAATTTCGCCCCGAAATTTCAACGAATATCGTCGCAAAATTAATTTATCGTTTATTATACGAAACGTGACCGAACGAACGTTTCGCTGCGAACTTTACGACAGCAATTCGCGAACACAAATTCCCGACAACGTATCAATTACTGCTTCTTTCTTTCACCGTTTAATCACGTGCCACGCATTGGGGCAACAACTTTCCGGCGCGCAGATGAACTTCGATTAAATGAATTAAAAGCCTACTCGCGATAAACACGGTAATTGGCCGTGGACGATTACGAGATAAGTCGCGCCAATTTCGGCGCGGTAGCACAGCGGAATCGTTCCGCTTAAATCGCCGGCTCGCCGTCGTCGAGAATCGAGCCACATTATCCCCTTCGGGCCCTTTTCCGCCGATCAATGCTCGTTAAATTGTAAATTAATGCAGAGACGAAGCCGTCGCCGAAAAATTGCAATGCGCGAATTTCGTTGGAACTTACCCGCATTCATTACTAGGTAGACTGCCGCGCGCAGGTCTCTGCTTGCTATAATTGGATAATAACTCCGTAACCGTAATTGCATAAATCAACAACGTGAAGTTTGCTCGGAAATCGATCGCCGCGTACGAATATTGTTGCATCGCTAAGAGTTTTGAATAACATTGTCGCAAATATTAATTCTGCTATCAGTACACTGAGAAAATTTTTCATCGGACAAACCTATTAAATAGTGCGTTTCCGATGACATTATTAATGCATTGCAATTAATGCAATTAATAAATAACAATAATTTCCGATGAATAATTAATTTTTCCGATGAAATTATGGCTACATCCGATTTTTATCCGATGAAATTTAATTGGAAAACCAATTATATTTTTCATCGGATATACAATTTTGTTATTATGTAATTGGATTGTCCGATTATATTTAATCGGACATGTTTCTCAGTGCAATGAAAAATAAATGCTGCAAGAGACGGTATATTTTTTATTTAGCGTCATAAAGAGGAGAACAATTTTATTGTATTAACACATGCAAAATTGGCAGAGTTCTATTATATGTGACGATACAAATGATGAATAATAAATAACGGCACTATTGACGATCATGCGTATATACATCTGTTAAATGCGTTTAAAAGTAAATAAAAATTAATTGAGATGAACTAAAAATCAACTGAATATTATACTAAATTTTGATTGTAATAACTTTATTTGTAAAGGTCAGTCGAGTATTCTTATAATATCGATCATTAGATTATCCTGTCAATTGATTCGATGTGTTAATGCACTGTAATATAATTACGAACTATTTAAACATATAAAAGCCTCATCTTATGGGCTCCAAAACGAAGAGTTGACTGTTCGCGGTTTTCTGCGCGTCCTGTCGTCGCCGTCTGATTCGGGCGGCAACGAATGGCACAAACAAACTTGCATCGTGTTCGATATTGTTTCCGCCTTTGATAAGCCGAATTATAATACTCGCTAGATATCCAACTATTAGAGTAATTGTCAGTCCTATAGGGTTGTACCACAAATAGGAGATGCGGTACAAATAGAAGTACGACGACTGATCGGATTGCACAGTGCTGCAAAAAAAAAAGAAACGATTTGTGAAGAATAAATAAGCGATAGTTAGAAATATTATCCGATGAACGTACGGTTTAAACGCTAAGCAAAAAATATTTTCTTCCCGTAATATCGTGACTTTCCCCACTTTCTCTTAACTATTTTGCAATGCAAAATGTCTAATTAACAAAACAGCCCCCTTCCTAATAATAAAACCATTAGTCACACGTGAATTACGCTCGCGAGAAATACACTTCTTCCTATCCTCGAGATTATTTCAATTAGATCGGATCGTTCGTCTTTACGCCTTTTCGCGAGCGGCCGTTGAATTTCTTGCCACGTTGAAAATGGACCGGTCAATTTAAACGAATTCCGCGCCGACAAAGAGAAAGCTATAATATATCTAATCCCGCTAATAACGGCGCGGCCGAGGATTCCGCGGGACAGCCGTAATTTCAGTTTATTAACGGCGCAATTAGTGTTATTTACCACCGTGGGAATGCCGAATGGCGAGCTTATCGTCTATGAGAAAGTGACAAGCACGAAAGAAATCAGGAAGCGGTGCATAACTCGCGGCTAATTACGGCTGAGCGAGATATCTCTCCGCGCGCATAGCACCATTGACTCGCCGCGAATTTCGAAGAGTCGCCCCGCGATAAGACGATTTACAGCGCGCCGATAATTCATATTCTAATCGTCGCGCGATATGCGCCATGCATCGTCGGCCCGTTCTTTCTCCCCTATCTGTTTCCCTAAGATAAATTTATGCCCGTTCGATTCGGTTTATGGCGAGCGAGATAAATGGCTGGCAATTGTAAATACGTATTGCATTTATTCCCGATAATGCTGCAATGCTAATATTTGAGCGTTGCGCAACGCCCGAGGTGAAACTTCTGTAGAAAACGCGTTTAAAGAAAATGTCTCGTCGTGAATATCTGAAGCGTGGAATTTTTTTTCAATTTTTTTCCGGTATACTTAAAAATATACAATGCATCGAATAAACGTACTAGATAAATAGAGAATAACAAATTTGGAAGTCCAAATTGTATTTGTCGACTCAACTAATGTTTACGCATCTCGGATGGAATATTTGCATTATATTATATTTGCATTTGATGCGGTTTCTGGTAAACTAATTTCACCAATTTTATATAAACATGTATGAGAAAGAGAGAGAGAGAGAAAATTCGGAATTTTAGTACCTTCCCAAGAATATTTTAAAGTATTTGGGTTCGAATATATTTCTAATAAAAACAATCTTGCAACTAGAAGACATAAATTTTTAAATGCAAAACGCACTTGTACAGTTCGGTCGTGATTGAATTAATGTTAAATTTTACTATGAGAGAGAGAGAGACAAAATTCGAAATTTTAGTATCTTCCCAAGATTATTATAAACTATCGTATTGTTAAAATATATTTCTAATATTAAAAATCTTGTAGCTAGAAAAGATAAATTCTTAAATGCAAAACGCGCTTGTAAAGTTCGGTCGCTACTGATTGAATTAATGTTAATTTTCACTGTCTTTTTCTGAGAATATCCCTACCTGTTGAAGTAGATTTGTTCAGCAAGTATCAATGTAGAATTCGCGCAACCCTCAATCGACACCGGTAGCCTCGGAACTGGTGGCTTAGGTTTCCCGAAAGTAGCCCACAGGCAGACGGTTAACGCCGTAATCATGCCAATAATAGTCCCCGTCTCGTTAGCACTCTCGCTGACCATTCCGAGAGTAAAGATACCTAAAATCGGCCCGCCGATAGCCCCGTGCACGCTAAAGGCAACGGCGACTAATGTGCCCATTGTCTTCGCTATTAACGCCAAGAACATGCAAATAACGCCATTTAAAACGGTGAGGGCCTTGGCTGTGAAAGTGGCCTTTTTATCAGAAAACTCTATTCCGAATTTCCGATGCAGTGGCTTGACATAATCTTCGAGCGCTACCGCGGCTAGTGAATTCATCATAGCGGAAATTGTACTTAGACTGGCGCTGAAGACACCGGAAACTATAAGACCGACCAGTCCGGGTGGTAATTGCTCCACAGTGTAGTAAGGCAGTATTTTGTCGTAGGTCGAAATTTTCCCGGAGGCAACGGGATCGCAATCTTTGTAGAGTGCGTAAAGCGAGACTCCGGCGAAACATGTTAAAAATCCTACTAGTAAGATTAATGGACCGCACAGAAATAGCGCGTTCGTGGCCACCTTTACGTTTCTGTGGGAATAGCAATAGATTGTCGCGTGTACAATAGCAAGAATTTTAATCGAATATGATAACACAATATGATAAAATGAAAAATCTAATTAACTCGCAATAAACTTGGAATAGGATATTTAGACACTGCCACCCTGTCACGGCTGCGAGTCCTTTAAATTTTTAAATTTTTTAAAAATCTAATTGTTATTATATCATATATTTGGTAACAAAATTTATATCTTTGAAAACTTTGGCAGTACATAGATAACTGCTTTAGACTTTTTTCTTTAAATAACGTGAAAAGGATTTTATGCATTATTGAAGCTTTAAAGAAAGGAAAGAGGACGGTACTACATAAACGCGTACGGTGAAATATGAGATATATATTGACATACTTAACGGTCATTAAACGTTGAACTTGCACTTGATTAACCGCAAGATAGGCTAGACCTATCGATCCTCCCCCGATCAAAAGACTCCACCATGTGTATTGCACAGTTGGATCGAAAGACGTTCTAAATGAGAAAGGATTGCGTTAATATTTTTATTAAGTTTCTTATTTAACGTATTATCGTAACCAACTTACTCGGAGAAATTTAAACGACCTCCCTCCTGCGCGATACGCCAAATGGCGCCGATCCCTCCGTCGATGTTCTGGGCGACGATAAAAATGATGATGGACAGAGCAATTAACATAAGCAAGCCTTGGAAGATGTCCGTGATCAAAACCGCTTTGATGCCACCCAACGTGGAATAGAAGGTACAGATTACAGCGAGTATCAAAATGCTCATGGTGCTAGACAAGCCTGTGGTAGCCTCGAGAGCTAACGAAGGAGCGTAGAGCATCACGCCGGTCAGTAACATCGTCTCGGTGAAATTTGCCGCGCTTACGAGCAATCGCATGTGCAGCCCAAATCGCATTTCTAAATACTAAGAGACAGAAGATTTGCAAGAAAAAAAAACCGTATGAGTAATTTTCCAGAAAATACACTCATCCGGGATGCATTTCTCCACGTATATTAAGCTGAC